TGGGGGAGGGGTTGGGTTGCCCTTTTCTGGAATGCCGAGCTGAACCTCAGCTACTGGGCAAAGTCATGGGAATCTTTCACGCAGATTTCGTGTGTTTTGTTTTGTTGGGGGTGAGAGGGACGGAGGCTCATAGAGTGCAGGCCACTGGAACTCTTAGTGCCTGTCCTTTTTTGCGGGTCCCTTTCTTGCTTGGTGTCAAAGGGAGACCAAAAGGACGATGACCATGTTGGGGGTTCCGGAATTCCGAGAAAGCCGTGTCTACACAAGTCGGGAGAGGCATTGTTGTGGAAAATGGTTGGAAGGTTTTCACAGCTTGAAGCGCGCAGGAGGGGTGGGCATTGTGGGGGGCATGGATGTGGACAATTCGATGTTGAAGCCGCTTTAGTGTGATACGAAGGGAAATCCCTAGAATGTGATAAAGTAACAAAAAGCGGCCAACTCATTACCCACATCATTCTTTTTTTAAATATATATATATATATATGATCATGACTGAATTTGGTTTTAAAGTACACCATAACCTCATTTTGATTATCTAGTCCCTGATAGTAGTGGGACACCTACTTTGGGGACACGGAAATGCTTGTCAATCCACAATCATCATGAGAGGTAGCACGGGACGGAGGCTCTGGGTATCACTCAAACTTGGAACCAGAATTGTCACTGTGATAGATCCAAATTATGGGGCTGTTCTACCAAAACATACTTAAAGGGGGATTGGGTACATCAGGCAAGTGGATAGTAAGCCTGGTGAGATAACCCACTGACCCTGGCTGTAAGTAACCGTTCAGTGGGTTATCTCACCAGGCTTACTAATCACTCAAAAGACTCGCGGCGAATCGATCTCCCCACCAAGCAGACATTTGATTCTTTCTGCGGGAAGGCTCCTTCGAATAGATGCTTTTGCTTACGGCATGGTCTTTGGTCCTGAGTTTGAGAATCCGAGTTGTTCATCGTCTTGCCGCCTGGCTCTCTTCATTCGATCAGCATGTTCAATGATTCAAGCATGGCCCGGACCCAGTTTGAGCAGCTCGATAGTAGGCCGAAAGCGACTTCTGTCATACAGCTAGAAAGCGTTTCGGACAAACCGGTTTATCCTCACCCCCTTTAAAATGAAATTGGGGGAGGGGGAATTTCCCCTGGAAATGAATTTCTGGTAACCAATTTTCCCTTTGATCGGGAGTAGATCAATGGACTTGGGGGCCCACCCCCCTCCCCCCGACAGCAGGGGAGAACGGTCATCTCGTGCAGCAGCTGGGGAGTCAATCCATTTGCTGGGGGTTGGTTTCTTGTCCATTCCTTTCACCCATCGTTCTTTTCAAAACCGAGCGCCTTTTCCCCAGGGTGTCCGTGGGTTTTCCAGAAAGAAGGATCCATGGACAGAATGGGGAAGATTCCCCTAGAGTGTTAGCTGATCTAACTTTGCAACCGAATCCGTTTGCTCTTGGGACAGTGGATGGGAGTTTAGTGCTTGGCTTCCTTCGCACTGCCACATGAGAAAAGCACATATCTCACCCGCGCTCAGCTACAACTTTGAGAATCCAAATCCAAGGGTTCCCCCTATTGGTCCGTTGCTACTAGATGCATCTCATGTCAGTGTCCTGGCCGTATGCAGGGAGTGCAGTGGCCATCCAGAGACACCAATAGGTGTCCTTTTTAGGTTAGTTTGCTTCGAAATAGATGGCACTGGTTTAGATTGGCTGTATTTCATTCACCAGGGCCATCTATTTACTAAAAGGAGACCAAATATTGGCAACCCTTTCTCTTTGTCCATTTGTCTTCTATCCTGCGTGCCTGCTTGCCTGCCTGCTTGCTTGCCTTCTGCCTGCCCGTCCTTCTGACTCTCCTATGTCTATCTCCGTGTCTGGTCTGTCTCCGTTTCTGCTTCTGTCTGTCTGCCTGTCCGTCCATCTGTCTGTGTGTCTGTGTGTCCGTCTGTGTGTTCGCGTGTCTGCGTGTTTGCAGTGTGCATGTTTTGTTTCCTGTAGGTTTGTTGGCTTGATTGCTTTGCTTTGTTTTGCCTTGCCTTGCCTTGCCTTGCCTTGCTTGTTTATTTGTTTGTTTGTTTGTTTGTTTGCTCCCGAGTGAAATCTGTATCGCAGGGTCAATGCGCACACTACTTGAGAATTGTCTACCTCTCTGATAAAACGATTGTTTGTTTTGGGCCTTTGGATTTCCACGAGGAGTTGGAAGGATCATGTGTAATCATTGTCAAATCAGAGTCAATTCTTGGAGCCTATTTGAAGAGTATACCTGTCATGGGCATTAACTCGGGAGTTTTTTCCTATGCCCCAATATTTCGTCAATAGGCAGCTTTTAAAGATTTCACCCCAGGTGGGATTTGTGCATCAGCTAAGCAATGTTGAATTACTGTCCTCTGATTTGGGATTCCCGCAGGTAGTGTGCGTTCAAGCGAACATTTGGGGTGTGTAAAAAAGCAACAACAACGGCATTTCACGGGTAAGGTTTAGGGATGTCGCTTTGGACCAAGTAAGGACCTTTCTTGCTCACTCCCTGAGTTGATGTACTTTAAGCTTTCTGGGAAGACCATTTTGGTGGCTTGCACAAACAGTTTGGTGGCTTTGTTTGGCCTCGATCAGAAGTGAGAATTTGTGACAGGACATTCTTTGCATGTCTGAGCCCTCCTTTCGCGCCAAGGTTTCGTTGGGTCGAACCGGGTGCTAGACGTTCGGCACCCCTACGCGGGGAGCTCAGATTGTTTTTTTGAGCCGAGAGCTGGCGGGGGGAAACCAACGGCCGGGAAGGAACCAATGAAACGAATCTGAAAGCTGGGGCTCATTTAACAGGGCTCCTTAAAAGATCTCCATTTTGCCACCGTTTGAAACATGTTGCTTTTTCAACACCAGAATAAAGTTGGAAACCACCATGTACAAGTTGCAATGTTCAGGTGTTTTTCATGTAAGGATCCCTGTTTTTTCGGAGCCTTGGGGACGCCTCAAAAGGAGCCTTGGGGACGAGACAGCCGCGTGACGGAGAATTCTCTGACCCGATCTCGGGGAGGTTCAGGGGACTGGTTTGCATGGCCGTTCTCGCCTGACACTTTGGCCTATGGGATCACGCCCCCTCCCCTAACCTCCCCGTCTCCCAAACACCGAAGGCCTCTCCAGATTTGTGGGTTGACGTGAACAGGGCGCTGAGGTCATAACTTGCCTGCCTTTTGGCAATCTCCTCGAGCTTGTCACTTCAGGCGTCGAGTCAGGGGTGCCGCTAAAGTTTGGCCGATTCGAAAAGCATCAGACTGCATATCCCTGGGTCCTGATCCAAAAGCACATTGTCTCATTGATCTGGGCTTTCGGCTCTTGGGAAGCTCGCTTCGGCTTCTGAAACGAGCCCGGTGTTTTTGTTCCCCCCCCTTTTTTTCTCGCTCCCTTGATTTTACCAGAGGATTCCGAAAAAAAATCGGTGGGAAAATTGCTGCAACTTGCCCAGAATCATGGAGGAGTCTTCGTTTTCGGGGGCCACCGCCTGCCACCGCCTTTTTTGGTCCTTGTTAGTTCGCCTCAGAGTCAAGGGGTCTCAAGGGTAGGGGTCTCCTTTGGTGGTAGGTGTCCTTTTGGGCTTCCCTTCTTTCCCAAAACAGGGTTAAGACGGTAAGAACTGGCCATATGGCTAGTTTGAATGGGTGACCCCCTCCAGAATGGCTGGTGGATGAATCCTATTGTAAATGATGTCCACCAGAGGCCCCTTCCCCCCTAGTTTGTCAGCAATCTTGACCAAACAGCCCGGAACCGCAATCCATCCGCCACCATCCGCTCACAGGTGTCCCTTTTGGTTGTGGTAGAAAATAGATGGTGATGCCTTCGTTGTTTTATCTACCAGGGCCATCCGAAAATTAGCCCAGCATTGCAACCCAATAGCAACATGGCCCGGTTCATGTGTTTCTCTCGCCTCAGTATCTGGCCGAATTCGGGATAGAATGGCTGATGAGTTGGCTATCGGTTGAGCATCGGTTTGGGTCTTGATTGCCCTACGAATTTCCGACTCCGCTATCTTGGTTTGCGACAACAACTTGGACCTCATACGTGTCTTCACGGCTTCTACAGTATCTTTTGCTTTCTCTCCAGGATCCGTTTGCAGTGTTCCGGGCCTGCAAAGTAAATTAAGGGGGTCCTTACACAACCAAAGGCATTGGGTTTAGTTGTTCGACCCATTTTAACGATGGCTTCTTGTGCTGAAAGTCAACCAAGCCCGGCACAAGGATTTTGCAGGAGACACCCAATGGCTCCTGACTGCGTAGTGTGTTCTAACTCGTTTGAGCCAGGTCACTTGCTTTTGGTTCCGCCTAGCACATTTCCAACCGAAAACCAGAATCACCTACAAGGTAGAGCGTGAAGTCTCTAGCATCAGAGATTTGAAAGATAAGCACAACTACACAGAAGATTCCCGAAGACTACAAGAATACATGTACACCTCGCCGACACTTGTAACGCAATCATCGCGCCGGCAGCATCATGATCATGCCAGCAGTGATGATCATTGTCGTTCCAGAATGTGCGATCACGGTCATGACGGCATCATAATAACGTTACCGTTAGCATCATGATGCCGGCAGAAGTACGATCCTGCCGGCATGACCATGCATGCAGCACCAAAACCGCGCCAGCAACACAATAAGTGGCGGTTAAAATGCGACCACGCTCACGACTGCAATTTTAGCATCATGATACTGCCAGAAGCATGATCCTGCCGGCAGCATCAGTATCATGCATGCAGAATCATGACCACGTCTGCAGCATCATGATCACTCAAGCACGCGATGATCGTGGTTGTTCCAGAGTTTGAAATCAGGTTCACGACGGCATTGGAAACACATCAGCATCATGATACTGGCAGAATCATGACCAGGTAGGCATCTTCATGATCGCGCTGGTAGTCAAGTAGGCAGCTGCATGATCACGCTGGCAGCATCATGGTCGGCCGGAATCTGTGTTTTTCCCGAAAGCGTAGCAATTCCAAATATGTTTACATTCATGGTGTAAAGGCTTCTTTATTTGAGTCTGTCACCACCCGCATACTTTTTTGGCAGTTTTGTCAAAATCGTTGATGGCGACCGCCAATTGGCAGTGCCTATCCGGCGGGTCGGCGCAGCAGCGTGACTCATCGGCGTTTCGCTCACCCCATCCCAAGCAACTTGGCCAGTCTGCGGATGGTTCTGTGGAAACTCTGGCGCGGATCGCGCAAGTCAAGTTGCGCTAACAAGTTACACTAGAGATTCACGAGCAAGTTTCATAAGAGATTGCTTCACCAACTTATGCGAAATGTTTTCTGCCGTGTTTGGCTAGAGAAGAAGTCCAGTGAATTCGCGCGCGAAAGTGAGAAAGGAAAGCTCAACGAGTGTAAATGAGTCTTTGAAGGAGGCGGGCCTGCACCAACTCGTCAACCGGGAAGTCGACCCTCTGGGGGGATTGCCGTGGTCAATGGCTGATATTTTTGCTTTTCACATCTGCGCGCTCCATGGCACAAACTGAGGACATTCGCCCCTTTTTGCGAAAACCGCCCAAAGGCTCCGAGTTGGTCTAGAAATCAGTCAATTGATTTCAAAAAACATAAAAGCGACACAATGACAACAACCAACCGACAAGTCAATAGAATATCCAAGCAAATATGTCAATCTCCAACCTCGGTGTGGACCAGCCAATGTGGCCCTTCACACGCGCATATATACATACGCAGCCAACTGAAAGCAGCCTTTTCCAGCCCGGGCAGCACTTTTGTCACACATCAGTCCATATCCAAGTTGAGCTCACCTGGCAGGGTTGTCCTTCACCAATCCATATCCAAATTGATCTCAGCTTTCAAGAGCGTGTGGAAGGACAGCGCAAGTTTGTCCAGCACTTTGGCAGGAAGTTTTCATGCAGGTGTCCCCCGAGACTCGAAAGACTCAGGGCTAGGTGCTGGCACTGTGATGAGACATGTGCACATGGGATTGACCACCTGTACTGTTCAGCAAGGCTACCTTGCATATGTTCCGAACCCAAAGTTCTTGCCACTCAGATCATCAAGTTCCATGCCATTGAAGCCATTCATCCTTGGAGGTGTGGCAGCCCCTGAGCTGTAGCCCCTCTGTTCTGCCATGCCCACCAATTCTTTCCAGGGCTTGGAGATGGCGATCTTCTTGCCACTGCGGTCTTGAAGGAACAAAACTTTCCTGGCCGCCTGTCCCTTGCGTGACCCCCTGTGGTCCCCATCAGCATTGGCAGAAATCCTGGACTTCTCAAATTTCTGCCAAAGAAGTTGCAGCTCTTGAGGGGAAAAGGGCCTTGTCGAGTTCATTTACTTTTTTGGGGCCTGAGCTCTCTTTGTCCAAGAGTGCCTGGTGAGTAGCGGTGTTCCTTTTTCCTTGGTTTCAGGCTTCTTTGTTGGCTCCTCATTTTGTGGATCCTCTTCATCTTCTTGCCTTGGGCTTGTCTGTTTTTCAATCATGTCTCCTTGCCTTCATTCCTTTTTGATTTTGCCATTGCCAGAACATGTGGCTTCAATCTTACTCGCTAGACAATTCTGTTAGGACCCAAACATGCAACATCATGGGTTATTCTGGGGTCTTTGTGGCTTCATGAGTCTTCGCGTGTCTTCATGTGAATTTTGGCTGCTTTAGGGAATTGTGGGTCTCATCTTTTTTTGCGGCTATTTAGGCGGCTGAAATAGACTTGAGATGGCCATCCAGCCATCAAAACTCTTGTGGCTAGCCCGGCCAAGTTGCTTGAGACTTCCATGGCTCTGCCAACTCGCCGGCTCCTCCCTGACTATTTAGCCACCTATCAAAAGCCTTTGGCTCAGCCAGCGCACTTGTTCTATCGTTTTCCAACACACATCAATTTTTCTACTGAATGAGCACTGTTGCAATACCTGCGCTGTGGCTGGGCTGCAGGTGGGGCAGCGGCCTAGTGTTGGTTCCCATTCACTGTGGCTTCTCATCTCATGGTGCGAGCTGCTTGAGAAGTACTTTAGCGCATGTCGGGAATGCTGGAACATGTCACACGTGGCAGCATCACCCCCCCGCCCCCCCCCCCCCCAGCCCGATCCAAGAAGCATTGCAAGCGCTCTCCGACTCAGCGCCGGTTTTCCTGAACTCCACATAGTTCTCATTGTTGTGAGTCTCTATTTGCTTGTACTGGTGAAAGGCAAATGCTCTGTGGCTTGCATGGCATAGGCTGCTTCAGTGCTACTCAATGCAGAAACCCTCCATGAACGTACTGCGGTTCCTGTTTAGGCAGTCCAAGGTTGACTCCTTCCCTCCTGCGAATGGAACATCAGGCATGGATGTCTGTGTCCTTGGCTGCTTGTGGCTTTTGAGCTGTCCCTCTTTAGGTTCCTCTCCTTCTGCTGTCTGCGGTCTACCTCCATCGTGTTCTTGGGCGTTGTCCTACCCTCCGCTCTTGTTCTTCATCACTGCCCCCCATTCCGTCGGGTTCTTCCTGCATCTTGATCGGCAAGGTGTCTCCGCTGCGCAGGTGCAAGCGCGCCGCTCGCGGCTATCTGGCCAGACACTCAAAACAAACACAGAGACAGGCGCAACATGGCAGCAAACCCACGCAAAAGCCAAGACACATCAATGCAACATGGTGATGTAGCCAGGCGCATGCACTTTCATGGGTGTCCAGCCACCGGCTTCTACCGTTTCCCTGGCTATTCATGTGATGCCGAGAAGTGGGCGGAAAGTTCGTTTGGCAGCTCTGGCTTGAACATCGCACATGTTCAGTGCCGGTGCAAACTTGTTACTCCCGGGCCTAGAGATAGACACCCAACAGCTGGTTGCCATTGACCATCTTCAAACAAAGCACCTGACAGCACCCCCCAACGATTGTGCTTTACAGTACTTGAAGATTCTGGACATGGTTGACAAAAACCAAAAAGGGGGACAACAAAAGGGGGAGCGTGGTGGCACGGATCGATCCGCCCTTTCTTTGTGCTCTTTTTTTTTGTCTGCTTTTGTGTGGCTTTCCGGCTTTTCTCCCGGTGCTCCGGCCGTCGCGTGCGTGCGCCAGAAGGCCGCCTGGTTCGGTGTTCGGGAAATTTTCCGCTGGCTTTCCATTTCTCCCGGGCCCTCGGAGTCGGCAGGGCTGCAGGAGGGCTTCCGGCTGCTGGAGCCGCAGCCCTGGCCTTCCACGGCATTCCTCCGCGCCTTCGACGAGGAGAACGAGGGCCCCGCGGTCACCGCCCAGGCTGGGCCTTCGGATGGGATCGGATCGAGCGGAAAGGGGGGGTGGGGGGTGGGGGGTGGGGGGCGGCGGTGTAGCCGAGAGCGCGGCTTATGTGGCGGTCTGCTTGGTTTTTGGTTTGGGCCGTTTGTGAGGGAAGAAGGCTCCGAGAAAAACGACTGGCGGTCGTGGTTGAAGCTGGGTGTGAATACGACTTGGGTTTGGACTGTTGTCGAGAAGAGAAAGTTCAGTCAACCCACTCAGGAAGTTAGGTTTCTATCCCAAACTGGGTCCCAGTACACAAACGGCGGAACCCCCGCTACACATCTCGAGGATAGACAAAACCCAATCTGGGCAGAATGAAGCTCTTGGGCTAAAGCGTTAACCGTAGGTGGTCGCTTGTCTTGACTCTTAATAAGTATCCACTTGGGCCACCATTTTGGCTCAAGTGGACCCTGTGTTCTTCTGTCTTGTGATCTGAAATCTTTCTTTCCCCTACTCTCAAAGCCATGTACGCCCCCGCCTACGCTGGTGCCGCGGTAGCAGAGGCCAAGGCTAAGGCAAAGGCCTCCATGGCAAAGTACCTGGCGAGCCTAGTGAAGAGGGAGGAAGAAGGATGGACCGTTTTGGCTGCTGAGGTCCCTCAGGCACCTGACGAGCGCTTTTTCTCCAGCGCAGATGAGCTGGAGCAGGCCCCCCTCATCCCGGCCAAGCGCAAGGCAGAGGATGAGCCGATGGAAGATGCAGCCCCTGGGGTGGCGCAGGTGCCGAAGGCCCTGACACGCCCCCCAGGGGCGTTCCTGGAGCTCCTGAACCCGCCGGAGGAGGACGTGCCCATGGAGGAGCTCCTGGCAAAGGACGAGGAGGAGCTGCCGATGCCCGGGTCCCCCTCGGCTGCAGCCCGCTCGGAGGAGGCCCGCCCGGATGTCCGGGCAGAAGCCAAGTGGCAGAGGCGCCGGGAGCTGATGGCGAAGGTCAAGGAGCAGGCGTCCTCGGAGGAGGATGAGAACCCCGCAGCCCCCCCGCCGGGGGGGAGCGTGTTCACCAAGGCCCTCAAGGTCTCGGAGGGCCTCTACCAGTTCAGCGACGACCAGATGGCGGGCGACTTCCCTTGCTTCGATGCGACCACAGCCACTAGGCTCCGCCGATTGCAGGTCAAGGACGTCCAGCGGCTCCTGCGAGGCTTTGAGGGCCCCCAGCTCAAGCAGGGGGGCCTGGAGCGCGTTGTGGAGGCCTTCTACATCGCCAAGATGAAGTATGAGCACGAGGCCCGGCTCAGCACCCCGGGGCAGCAGGTTGGCAAGCGCGCTGGCTTGGGGTATGGGGGCTTGGAGAACCGCCCCCTGGGCAAGGTGCCCACATCCTGGATCTGCCCCTGCTGCACCATGCCCTGGGTGAAGAAGGGCGCCACGAAGTGCATGGGGTGCGGCAAGAAGACGGAGCCCATCGACATGGCGACCAACTCGGCCACCCTGGAGATAGCGGGCACGCATTGGCAGTTGACGGTGGATGACCAGGGCAATGCGGTCTGGACGGCGGCCCGGTCCGCAGGTGCCGAGGGCCCTGACACGGACCGGGCCCGCGACCTCAAGCTCAGTGCCTCGGTGGACGTCAGCGAGCTGGCCACCGACCCGATGGCCTGCGAGAACCCGGACCAGGCCAGCTTCTCGGACATGGAGCTGGACGAGGAGTTTCTGACGGCCCCACCGGGGGAGAGGCCCCCATTGCCAGGCGACAAGGAAGAGGGCCAGGAATGCAGAGCCTTCCACCCGTCTGCGGTGAAGGCCTTCAAGATTCAGACCCGGCTCAACGCCACCACCATCGCCCAGGAGGAGGCCAAGAAGGCGGACCAGGTGGAAGCGGTGGAGCGCTCAGCGGCGATCCTCCACGAACTCCAGGGGAGGGCCATTGACGGAGGAGGTGATGGGGGCCTGCTCCTGAAGAACCTGGACTTGGACCTCTTCCGTGAGAAGCTGCTGGACAAGCTGGGTGCGGACTGGGGGAGACCCACACCGGAGCTCCTCCAGGCCCAGACCACTGCGGAGGAGGCAAAAGCGAAACACCAAGCCAGACAGGCGAAGGGCTCCCTCGAAACCAGAATGCTCGAGCCCATCGCGCCTCCCTTCAGTGCGTGGCCTAGCGAGGTCCGGGTCGCCATTGAGACTGGGGTCTTCGAGCCGACAACGGCATGGAGGGACTTCAGTATGGACGACCTCACGTCTCTCACGGACTCCTACCTTGAGGCCAAGGCGGTCATCTCGCTGGGTAGGAATCCCTTCCCGGCAGCCCTCCTGTCAGATATGCCGGACCTGACAGGGATCCCCATGCCAAAGGCGGGGGGCTCTGGTGCGGTGCGCCCAGGTGCCAAGGGCTCTGACAGGCCGCCCACCATCCCCCCAGCCTCGGGCTCTGGCGCGATGAGCTCAGGTGCCGAGGGCCCTGACAAGCCGTCCGCCACCCCGGTGGGCCGGGACACCAAGGACCCGGAGGTGCAGCTCTCGGTCCTGCGCTGGATGATGAGCAAACGGGTCGGAGAGGTCCGCATCTTTGCGGGCCGCTGGGTCCGACGACCGGGCCCGGTGCACGTCCCGGATTGGGCGAGAAACCTCACCAAGGTGAATCCGGAGGCGTTGGAGAGGGGCACGCATCCCAGGAACCACCAGGTGGGTGGACTCCCCTGGGCCAGGTACTCCGTTGAGGAGTTGCACCAGCAGGCGAAGGCGGGGGACCGACCCTACCCTGGGGACCTGCGATCCATCTTTTGGGCTGCCCCCCACGATCCGGATGAGGACTTCCATTGGGCGCGCCAGATCTCGTCCTGGACACTCCCAGGCCTGCTGGGGATGTTTGGGCACAGCTTCACCCTGCGCCAGCTCTGGGGAGTCTGGGAGTCTCTGCCACTGCTGCAGGGCCCTAGGCAGCGGGGCCCGAGAAACAAGGCCCAGAATCAGACCCGCCTGGAGGACTGGGAGACCCTGAAAGAGGACGCGCGGTGCTTCCTGAAGGAGGAGGGCCTTCCGTTTCCGCAGACAGGACCGGAGTGGCGATTGGTCTACCGGGCCATGGGCAAGGTCCTCGCGGCCCGGGCCTTCCTCACGGACACCCCGGCGGAGGTGATGCAGCTCCCGGTCCAGGACGTGGCGGACTCCAAGGAGCAGATGATCCTGCGGGCGGTATGCGATGAGCGCATCTCGGTCCCGGTGGAGAGCCTCCAGCAGTTCCCAGAGGTGTACAAGGCCCTCATGGACCGCATTGGAGGCCCGGGGGCCCTGGCGGAGGTGAAGGTCAACTGGCGCTGCAACACGAAGCAGTGGTGGGTCGGCGCAGTCCCCGACTCAGTGGCCCCCTCCATCTACCGCAAGCTCGGCTACACCGACGACATGATCAAGCTGATGGGCCTGGACCCCTCCGCCCCTGGGTGCAGGACAGGTGCCGATGGCCCTGACATCCGCCCCAGGGGAGGCGAGGGCTGAGGGGATCGTTTACCCCCCCATCACGGAGGACAACGTCCACAGCGTGGTGGGCAAGGTCTACCGGAAAAAGAACTATCCGGTGGAGACGAAGCATGTCTTTTGGGCGCACATGGAGTGTGGCCTGGTCCTGAGCTCCGTCACCCCGTGGGAGCTCATCCCGAAGACCAAAGGGGAGACCCGGGGGGGCTATATGTGCAAGTACTGCAAGGGGTACTGGCCGTGCCGGGGGAGGGGGCACCCGCCTCCTCCAGATCCGGGCTGGCAAGGCCATCTTGCAACTGGTGCTGGACGAGCCGCCGGAGGGCCTCTACAACCGTTGGGTGAAAGAACGGCTGGAGTACTACCGCCGGGTGGAGCCCTCGGCCCCGTTGCGAGACGTCTCCATTGTGGACCAGAAGGTGCCCAGGTTTAGATTCAGCCAGGCCACCCAGACAGGCCACGTCTCCAATGCCATTTGGGAGCTGATCCTGCGGAATCCGGAGGCTGCTGCGCTCAAGCGCATCGATGACCTCGCGAAGGGGGCCGCGTGACGATGCGGGACAACGCCACCATCCGGCACACCATCTAGGACCACGGCCATCCGGAACGGATGCGCAACGCACCCCGGGGGGGGGACAGCTGCCGAGGGCGCTGATATCCCCCCCCAGGGAACATCGTAGGCCCCGACTTGCACCAAGCGAGAAAAATTGGCGCGGCTTGGGCTGATCCGGGATGCGCCTTGGTTCCCCTCTCTTGTTTGGTTTCCCCTTTTCGGGGCGGCTCCCTGGGTCCCCCCCTTCTTTTCCCCCGTTTCCTCCGTTTCGGGGTTGGCTTTCCGGGGTTTCGGGGGGCCCCCCTGTTGTTTGGTTGGGGTTTGCACCTAGGGACTAGGCCCCCGGCTCGAGTGGATCTTGATGATGTGGAGGCCCCGCCTCCCTTCCCCGTTTGGGACGACCTTCCTAGGGGTGCCAACCGCGCTCCAGTTGATTTTGCATGACCTTGGATTTGCACCAGTGCAGTCGGACAGGGAAATCCTCGTGGCGTGCTGCCTGGAATGGGTCAAAAAGGACAAGGTCGCCAACCTGGATGCGGTGGTCTTTGACCCGCGGCCGTGGACACGGATCGTGGGGCTGGCACCGGACGGCAACCACGTCCTGGTGGCCTCGGACACCTACAACTTGATCCTCGCGAGGATACTCGGCTCCCAACCACAACCGCTGGAGGAGGCGGATTTGGAGCTCGCTACGAAGACCCTGCAACAACTTCTGTTCCGTGCGGCAGGCGCCAGGCAATCGCACACCTATTCTCCGCTGGAAATGGAACAGGCCATCCGGGACCGCGAAGAGTGGATCCTTTCCGGATCGATTGAGGCCCCGGACGTCCTGGCAGTGGCAAACAAGTGGCGGCATTGGAAACCAGGGAAGATCAAAACCCAGTTGCCGACATCTCAGAGAGCGCTGGAACAACACCTGAGGGCCAGGTGGTTGGAGCGCCTCCTGGGATACTTCATCCCCTTCCGGCACCAGATCCCCTACATGCACCAGGTGATGGGGGCCAGGGAGCTGGAAGAGT